TCTTTTTAACTCTCTCTGGCCAACGAGGGCGAAGCCGCCACATTTCCTGTTTGTTGAGTACGTATGCGTACGACGGCTTCATGAGTTTGCCTGAGAGTTTCTATAATCTCGAACATATTTTCCTGCAAATTATACCTTTTGAGAGTAAAATCGGACGATAATTCGAAAAAGCTCTTTGAAAGAAACCACGTGACTTTTAGGATGCGAAATTTCAAATAGTCTGGGGTCCCAATGGACTCCAATGACTATCTTTATCGTTTTAGAACCCCACATTATTTGCATTCCACCCTATTGCTGATGTCTGTAAACATGATTACTGGTAACCACAGGCGCATCTCTTTGATTGTATTTTTTCCCACTTTTTTAGTCTGTTTCCTGTGAGAGATAAAGGGGTGTACGAGGATAATAACAGAAGCGTGAGTGTGAAGTCGCGGTGAGTTGGGGGGGGGGGGGCAACATCCCCTACGCGGCAGATACAAACCCGAGCAGTGGGCGGCGTGCGGCGGGGTGGGTCTGCGGCCCAGGGCCAACCAGCCTCAATTCATATTTTCCTCTCTCTTTCTCTCCCCCCCCCCTTTTCTCTTCTCCCTAGCTCCCCGCAGCCAAGCAGGCGGCAGGGTGGCATTTTCTCGTTTTGTGAAATAGGGTGCCTAGTAGGGCCCAACACATCCGGCCCACTCGAGGCCTAGCCCCGCCCTCCCTTTGTTTTCTTTCCCCGGCGGCGCCAGCACATCTAACACTCTCGCGCTAAAAATGGCAAAAATACACTTCCTCATTGAAATCACCGAAAGGAAAAAAAAGTCGTGGAAATGTTTTCCACCGACCTATACTAAATACCAAATAAAGTGTTATCATCCAGAAAGTACGCCCATCACTTGCCGTTATCAACCTGCCAAGCTTAGCCAATGCGACTGATAAACTAAGTGTTCAACTGCTCAACACTTGTAAGTGTGCAACAGCAAGTTGACTTGCAAGGGTGCAACTCCTCGGTTGAACACTACTTCCTTAGATTAGACGCTTACTGTGTAGGAAGTGTTCAACCGAGGAGTTGCACACTGGCAAGTGCACACGTACCGAGTTGCACACTTGCAAGTATTCAACTTGCAGTTGCACACTTAGAGGTGTTGAGCAGTTGAACACTAAGTTTATCAGTGTGCAAGCTCTCATCCATGGCGCCTGATGGGTAGGCAACATCTTGAATGCTGTGCATGCGTGCACTGCGGGATGGCCTACCCCGAGATTCGCAGGCGCTGGGCTTCCGTAATTTGCCAAGTGAAAAGCGGAGGGATGTACTGTTTTAGTATTGAAATGATTGGTTCTTTGAGGGTTCTAGGGTGTGTCTGATAAGTTACTAGTTACACCATAGTTAGTTATTACTTTAGTATTATTTATTGGGTTTATGCCAAATACCCTTGCCCTACCCCTAAATACTGATCTGCTGTACATTGCTAAAGGGTGCCTAAGTGGGTGCATACCTCAATGGTCACATTACCGAAGCATTAGTTAATCCTTAGATCCGCTCTGGCTGGAGGCTGCGTCGCGACTGTCCGCCCGGCCGAGGCCTCGCGTCCAGCCGCGCCGGCATTCTGCAGAGTTTGCACTTTGGCGGTCAGTTGCCCTTCGCTTGCCTACAACAGTACTTTCTTGGCGAGCTCTACATGGCGACAGTGTAGTGTGGGGATCAGTATTTGGTAAATTTCTAGGAATGTTTAATATGCACTGCAGGTCCTCTGGCATTAATTATTAATTTTTTACGGAGAGACCTTTTGATTCAACTAAATACATTGTTATTTTGATGCTGCATTTATTGCGAAAACACGGTGGGGAAATGAGATGAAGGTGAGGTAGAGCTGGACCGCTGTCCTGGCCCGTTCCTGGAGAGCACGTGGCTGGCGGAGATAACGGAGTCATGCTGGAATATGAAAGCTCGGCGGCGGCGGGGGAAGTGAGACGGAGGTGAGGGAGAGCCGGGGAGAGCGCGCTGGGGCCCGACCCGACCCGGCAGCAGCGGCCCGGCGGAGCCCGGTGGGGACGCCATCCAGCTGCCCGAGAAATTACCCGCGGAATCCCGGCATAATTACAAGCAGCCGCATGCGCGCCCCGCCCCGCCCTGCCACGCCCTACCCCGCCACGCCACAGTCACCCTCGGGGACCGGCGATAAATTACGATGCAGGTGTGTGTTGGAGAGGTCCGGGCCTCCCGCTGGATAACCATCCCCGCCACGCCCCGCCACGCCCCGCCACGCCCCAGCCGCAAGGCAGCCGAGTGTGATTTACTTTCCCTTCGCTGGAAAATGGGCTTTCCGCAAAGTGGAGCAAACCCCTTTCGCTCAAAAAATACAAGGGAAAAATACGAGGGAGAGAGGTGGTGGTGGTGGTGGTGGGGATTCATCACTCATCAGTGACTTCCCGCAGCAGAATGGCGGCTCTGGGCGGCGCGAGGGTCGTTAAAACTCCCTTCGAGCAGCGAGTCGAGTCCCTCCCGATGAATCTCCCTTGTTCAGATCTGCCGGCCCGGCCCCTGTGCCCCTCCTTCCTCTCAGCTGGGAGGTGTAATCTCCACGGAGGTCATCGGCAAGTGATTGTAGGAGGAGGCGGCGGCGGCGGCGTCCCTGTGAGGCCGGCCGTGTGGCAGTGGCCCCCACCGCACCGGGCCCACCACCACCCCGGCCCACCACCGGGGCCCACCACCCGGGGCCCACCGCCCGGCCCACCCCGCGCCTCCCTAACGACACAAGCCCGAACTTAGCTACTAATAGGCTATGCAAATCTCCCCAGCGCTCCTCCCCCTTGCCGCGCCCCGCTGCCGCCCCGCTGCCGCCGTGGTCGGCGGTGGTCCCCGCCAGCAGCGCCCCCCCCCCTTTTCCCTCCGCCTGGAACAGTGTCCAGCCCGCACGGCCCGCACTCTCCCATATTGCTTTAATCATATCCCTCGGGAGGGTGCAGGAAGTTCGCCTGCCCGCCTGCCCCAGCCCCCGGCCTTGCTGCTGGCGTCTGAACCAAGACCTGTCTTGGTTAATGAAGAATCGTCGAGGTAATCACGATTTCCTCTTTTCCTTTGTTTTATCGTCACTACTTTACGGGCTTTGGTTTCCTATAGTGCGGCTCTTCATAGAAACATCCCAGAGTTAAAAGTCTGATTTTTTTAAAAAATGTACAAGCAAATAACACATACAGTTTGGGAGTGTACCGGGTGTACCAAATCGGACGCCGGTTTGCCTCCTCTCTCTTCTCGTAAGGCGCCATGGCCGCTGCAGCCTGGTCTGGTGCACGTTGGCTGGACAACCGCCTGTGACTTTAGCACCTTAATGGTACCCCAGCTAGGCAATCTGATATAAAGAATAGAGAGAGTAGAACGTCAGCACCTGCCTCTATGGCTGACTTCTGTGTACTACAGAACGTTAAGCGTGCGACAATCGACACACAGACCGCAGGTCCAGATCGTTCACCAGTAGCTCCTTATGCGTTTAGTGCACAAAAGGTACTTATGCGCACATTATGCGCACTATACCGTAGTTAGTGTGCTGAAAATAATGTGGTACCTTTCTGTGCGTTAAATTCAGAAAGGCGCGTAAAAAGTGATACGTGCTACTGGAGCACTGGAAAAACAAAAGTGCTTATTCATTCCTTTAAAAGGCACTAAGCGTTTAGTGCCTTTACAAAAGGCACTCACTAAATCTGCCAGAGGCACTAATTTTCAGCATCCTTTGGTCTGTTTAGTGCCCTGTTTGCCTTTGAAAGGCAATAAACTGAAAATGTGTTTAGTGCCCCAGGAAAGGCACGACTTAGCGCCTTTGTTTTACCGGTAAGTTGAAGAATTATACACCCAGAAAAATCGTTTCTTGTCTCAAGTAAATTTTTCCTTGTTCCAAGTGCAGGATGGCACAAGATCAAATTTACTCTTGAAACATGCTTAAATTTTCTTTCGAATAAGAGAAAAATCTTATTTCAAATACAAAATTGACTTGTTTCAATGGTGAATTTCATCTTGTGTCAGCTTGCACTTGAATCAAGAAACTATTTTTCTGGGTGTATCTCGATTCGCCGTTTACTCGGGGGCAGTGATCGGCCCGGAGTATCCCTCCTACTTGAAGTTGGCACCTGCCGGGCAGGGCACCTGCCGGGCAGGGCACCTGCCTGCCTCGCGCCGACGCACTTCAAAGATGTCTGAGCCAAATGCTTGGCTCTGCCATCTACCGTAGTAACGTTACCCTGGTGCGAGAGGTCAACAACCACTGTTTTCAAACTATGAATACTCGTTTGTAAAAAGGGATACTCGTGAATACAATGAAACTTCGCTCGTATATTAATGCAAGTCAATATTAATGAATATGAACTGAATAATTGCATTTTTCAGTTGTCATGTTTTTTGATCCGTGAATGACCGTCGTGTACCCCTCGGGTTGGCGGCGGTGTCAGAGTTCATCCGGGTGCGGTTTCTGCGAGTCTCGTGCGCCATCTGGCGGCGTTGGCTATACCCCACGCGTTGCAGGCCACCAGAGCGTGAGGGGTAGCGCCGCGGAGACGCCGGCTTCGAATCAGAGTTGGGGGGAATGCCCATCGCAGGTCTTCCCTGCATCACTTTAATGTTTGAGACCAGCCCTGAGCTCACCGACGGACAGATTATGATTAGGGATTAGTTTTCGGTGCTCAACAAGAATCGTATTGAGAAGGTCTAGTCTAGTGAGTTTGAAATTCCCTTAGTACAGAAAGAGTCTTAGACCCCTCGTTAAAAGTTTTGCCCGTTTGTTGCCTTTGTTACCTTATAATTTTAATGAAGTGAACCCGTCACGCAGTCATCCCCTCTGTTTCGCTCGCACCCGAAAAAGGAAGAAGAGATAATACCCTTCGCCTTGTTTGCGAGGAAACCATGTGTGTGCACGTTCCAAGTTTTGAACCTCAATTTACGTTTCCATAGTTTTATTTGTGTGCACTTTTGCCAGTTGGTGTAAAGTAGCATCAAAGGCAGGGTGTTAGAGGAACCAATGTGTCATAAAACATAGATTCTTTGATATAATTTTATTTATTCATGACAAAATAGAAATAATGGTAATTAGTAATTTGAGCAATCACAGCAATTATATAAAAGGCGTCCGCAAAACGGAGTCCTTGCTTAATCGATCCTCTACAAAGCGCGTATGAGACAGGGTTTGAAGACTAAACTGGTCGTAATAAAATAGGACGATCAATATGCACAATTGAAACATTTATAAAACAAAAACCTTAAAATTACTCTATTGGACATTCTTTTATCGGCGGGGCATCGCTTTTCAGTGAACGGGATTGTTCCCGCCGATATCACAAAGAGAGCAATGCGACCAAAACAAAGCCCGCCAAGCCTTTACTCTCCACGAAGCGTGTGTGTGTGTGTTTGTGTGTGTGTCTGTGTTTGTGTCAGTGTCTGCGGCGAGCCGGCCCCTCTAGTGCCACCCAGGGCAGTGCGACAGGTAAGTGCACTCCGGGGTAGTTTGGCTGAATCAAGATGAGGGAACATGTGTCCGACGGTTCGTTGTCGTGGCGTTTTCCGGGCGCACTTTTGTCTACGGTGCTGCCAACCGCGAGCTCGGCGGCCTAAACTGTAAGGACGACCCGGCACAGAGGTCGCGTGGTCGGTTGGCGCAGCCGTGGTCCCGGGGGGGCGCCGCGGCCGGGCTGGGGCGCTGCGGGGGCGGCGCGCTGGGCCCTCTGGGGGCAGCCGCGGGGGTGGGGGCCGGGGGAGCCGGAGGCCTCGGGGATGCTCAGTCTCAGAACTCGGACACGCCCGTCTCGTCGACGTAGTGTTGGGTGCCGGGCGGCGCTCGGTAGCCGGGGTACATGGCGTTGACGCGGTTCTGGTCGAAGAAGCTCGTGTAGTCCCTCTTGGGCAGGCGGGGCCGGCAGACGGGGCCCTTGGCGAGGGCCAGCCTCTGGGCGTTCTCCTCGTCCGCGCGGGACTTGTACTCCTGTGGCGGCCACTTGGCGTCGCCGCGCGCGCGCACTCCGCCTGCAACATGGCAAGAGACACGGTTATAGGAGGGGGCCGAGCTCGCTCGTGCACGCGGCGGGGTTAAACTGAACAGAGCGACATGCAGGGGAAAGCAAGAAGACCAAGTCAGAGAGACGCCATTCCGTGTTGAGTGAAGGTGGCAACGAACTCGGGAACACCATGCTTCATCCTGAGAGGAGGTGGAGGAGGGGTGGTTGTGTTCTTTAGAACAGAGTACCAAACACCTACTTCATCAAAATAAAAATAAATGAGTATCAAAAACTACTGCGGTATCAGGTTGAGATCAAAAAGTGGTATTCCTGTCTGCAGGAAGCGGCCCCCCTCACCATTCCGTGCTTAAAATCTTGAAAGCGAAGCCGAAAAAACCTTTCATCGCGTAGGCGTGTAGCTTACTAGGCTTTCCTGGACAGCGGTTAAAGGGAATAAACCAGGACCTCGACCAACGCCGTACCAAGCCGGGCCCTCCGAATACTGCCACAACCAAGCTTAAGCTAGCCCTTCTGGCGGGGCGCGGCAGGCAAGGGCGGTGCCAGAGGACGCCTCCTAGTGCCCGCCGGTGCCCACGCACCGTTGGCACGCCCGCACGCGCTGACGGTTTTACTCCGAGCGCGCCACTGGTGCGCAGCCAAAAACAGTTGCAGTTATTGTGCAGCAGGAGGATGCAGTGGGTTTTAGGAGGGTCCCGGGAGCAGGGCAGACAGGCGCACCGACTACGCGGACCTCTGCAACCTGACGCCCGTGGGGTTCGTTAGGTGGGCCCCACCCAGCCCAAGCCCCAGCCCCCAGGCCAGGCAGCAAGGCTTGCAGGCTCGCCAAGCGTCGTGCTGTTTCTCTCTCTCCTCTTTCGCTTTCTGCGGCTGCTTCCTTGACCTACTCTGTCTCACTATAGGTTCCTCCATTCTCGCTACCGGGATCTCAAAAGCGATCGTCTCGGGAATGATTTCGACGACTTCTGGCGGCCACTTGAGGTCCCCACGGTTCTTGGCGGTGACGCCTGCGCATGACACAAAACGCTTGTGTAGTACTCCGCCATACGGCTCGCCGCGCAAGGCAGCACAGGATGACTAAAATGATTCAGCAGCTTGATGTAACTCATGAAAAAGCCAAAATTGTAATTTTGTTTTGATATGTCGCTCTTTTTTTGTATGCGCAAAATACCACCTGGGGCGGAAACGTACGGGTGGGCTTGGGAGAAACGCCTCCTGGTCCTGGGACCCCTTGGATGGGCGAGCACGCGGCAGAGCTTGGTGTCGAGTTGGTCCGGCTAAGGGTGCCGTTGCCGTTCTGTACAGGCGCTGCGTGAGACATTCAAATGAGCCCGAAGAAGGCCGTTTAACTTGTGAGGTGTGTGGCGGGGTGGGTAAAACAGTGGAGCGGGTGGGATGAGGGGTGGAAACATACACCAGAGCAAAATGTTTAAAGAGAGAAGAGGAAAGAAAAACAAAAAACCCAAAAAAACGTGGAAGATGGATAGATAAAAGTAAGAAAATACGTTTAACGCGGTCGCGATCCGTTGCCACCTTTACACAAACGTCATTAGTTTTTTTCTGACTAAACAGCTATGTATTTTTATATATACACACACAGGATGGGTTATAGCACGACGCTGCGCGCGGCTAGCCAAGCGAGAGAGTGACAAAATCTTGTGAACTGTGGCAAGAAAGCGGACACAGTAAACTTAAAATATTTAAACCACCAACCTGGTCCAAAAAACCAAAACATGAGTTTGAAACAAGTTTTTGGAAGGCGTCCAAACACTTATGTTTCCGACACGTCTCGCCTCTCTCGCTGGGCTCTGCACCGGGCAACACCACACTCGACCAACCCACTCACCTTGCATGATGGCGGTGGCTGGCTGGGACACGACGACCGGGGCGGGCTCCTGGTGGATGGGGGGCGACTGGCGAAGGGTGATGAACGTGGGCGGGGGCGTCCAGGCGGGTGAGCGCCTGTCTCTGGACCCGGACCTCCTGTGGGCGGGGGGCGTCTGCGGCAGCTGCTGGGGCTGCTGCGGGGGCTGCTGCTGTAGGGGCGAGCGCCCTGGCCGGCTCACCTGCTGGGCGTACTGGGGGACGGGACTAACAAAGCCGTTGACGGCGGGGGCCTCCTGGAGAGAGAAGGAAAACATTATGTTCTCTGATTTTTTTTTTTCAGATGTTTTTTTTTTCTGATTATCTTTTTTGATGTTTTTTTTTTCTTATTTTTTTATTGAGTGAACACTGATTTGTAAGTAAAGTACTCCCTCTACGTCACCGGCACCACCTTGAACCTTTGCTTACCTGTGCGTATACGGGCTCCTGCTCGCCGTCTGCTATGTCCTCTGGTGGTGGTGGCCAAGTCACCTTCTTCAGACCTGCCGGGCCGAGAACAAGAGAGGGGGTGGATTAGATATCCTGCGTCGTCGTGGCTCAGCCGAGAGTAGAAGCGCCGCGCTCTGAGGAAGAACAAAACAACACCCCGTCGATGTTATGCACCCGACCCCTTGCCTACCCCTACCTCTACCAACCCCCCGCCATTCGCTCCCACCCCCCACCCCCAGCTATATTTCCGCGCGGTTATGTTCGTTGGCACGCGTGCGGTCTGCACAGGTGGAAGCGGCTATCTGAGCGCATCGAATGCCACATCGCGCGGCCGGGCCCCGCCACCACCCCGCCCGTCTCAAGGCCCTCTCTCGCCTTTAGTGTCGCGGCCTCTAAATATAATGCGCCCCGAACAACGGCCCCGTCGCGCGACCGCCCGGCTGCACTTGTCCGCGCGGCCGTTCTCAAAGTTATTGGGTCTCGGCACAAAGTAATACCGCACGCCGTTGCCGCGGGGGCTGGGCAGCGGTGCGTGGGACGTCCTTGGACCGACAGGCCGGCGGGGCTGGTGAGAACTGATTCTCTCTATTCGCCGCCGGCCTCTTCCTGGCCTTGGCCGGCCACGCCACGCCACGCCCCGACGGCTTAGAGCACAGGGCCTTGTTGTGGCCAGCGTAGAGCCTTGCTGCTGGCCGGGCGGGGCGGCGCGGGGTCGGCCGAGGCCGGGGCGAAGTTGGCACCCCACGGACAAGGGTGTAGTTGTGTAGCGGCGCTGTGTTTGTGTGTGTCGGTGTGCGAAATCTACGGGTTCGCTGTTTTTTATTTAGACAAAGACCGGCGATCGCCAAGATTTCAGACGGGCGGAACGCACATGAGAGGTCCACGGGGCCGAGCGGCCGCGCTGCGGGTCGGGGCCGGACCGGGGCGGCCGAGAGGCTGAGAGCGAAGTCGTTGTATTTCAAGCGAGAGCCCTCACGGCGACACCTGAGCCCCCCGAGCCCGCCCCCACCCGCATGCCGGCGCCTGCGATTCCCAGGTAGGCGACATCGCCACCGGCCGGCGCCTGCCAACTTCCTGTAGGCAATCCCTCCGCAGACCAACACCGTTGCGGGTTGCGGGTCTACCTGGCCGGTCCCGGCCCGCGAGCGCGCGCCTGCAAGTCGCTGGTAGGCAATGCCGCCTAGCGCCAGGGTCGCACGGGACTGCCTACCCGACCCCTGGGCGCCTGCGAACTCCGGGTAGGCAATCCCGCCGCACGCCGGGGCCTCGCGGGCCTGCCTAACCCCCCGGCGTCCGCTCCTGCTGCTAACGTCACGCGTCGAGTCGAGGCTCCCTGGGAGCGCGGGCAGCGGGGGGCGAGGGGGAGGGGTGGATGCTACACGACCAGCCGGCGTCTTTAACCAGTTTAAGTAGTGGCGACAGGTCTGTCATCACAAGGGGGCGAGGGCGGAGGAGCAGCCAGCGCACTCGGCCTCCGCCTCCGTGACGCGCGACCACCTCGCGGCCCGACGCCGGCCGACACCGCATCACGTGGTGGACCAAGAATAATTCGGAGCACTCACTTCTCTCTCCCGGTCGCGCCAGGTCGTAGCGCACGGCGCACGCCATACTCCCGTCGTGGGGGCACAAGCTGTCGGCACCTGTCTGTCACTCGCTCCATACGCCCCATCTCTCTCTCTCTCTCTCTCTCTCTCTCTCTCTCTCTCTCTCTCTCTCGCTCGCTCGCTCTCGCTCTCCCTCACCCTCACCTGCCTACGCTTGGGTCGCACTGAGGCACGCGGCGAGCACCCCCCGTTCGGCCCCCGGCCGGCGGCCGCGGTCGGCTCGCAAAGCACGTTGTTTGTTTTTACGTCTCTTTCGCGAAACGCTACACCACCACCCCTCCCCCTACCCCTCTCCTAAATTTAGAAAAATAAACGCGAGGTATTGCGGTAAACCGACCTGCCGGGGGGGCCGCCGCGGCTAGGTCTGAGGGCGCTGATCGGAAGACGATATGAGACCGCAAGGTTCCGTTCAGCACGACCGATGGCCGCCGATGGTGGCTCCCCGTCGATCTCTGCGGTCGGAACCGGTCGAAGGCACGTGGCCCCGGCCCGGGCCCAAGCGAGTAGGAGACGCCACCAGCACTTCCCCCTTCCGGTGGAGCGATACCGGACCGCCCTTCCGACCACCCCGACAATCGCGCACGACTCTGTCCTGGCCTCCTTACCTGCCTGCGGGTGCCACTGCCTGCCGGGGGATGCGTCCCAATGCGACGCGACGCAAGCTCGCTTTTTCGTGCGACTGGCCGGTGGATACCTGGTGGCGGCTCACGCCCGCTGGGCCGCAGGAATAGTTCCCCCACCCTCCCCCTCCCC